CTGCAACACTGAGCAGAGGTTACATTGAACACTGACACAGTGGTTGAATTACCATTAGGAGCCCACTTACAGACAGTCCTTGGTAAACGTTGTTAACTTCTTTATATATAGTTCTTTCTTTGAGTCACAGATGCAACAGGTGTGTGTTCTTTTTATCAAAGCAAAATGGTGATGACTGACAATTAACTGTTGGTTGTCTGTGCATGAATATTGTCAACTTGTTTAAACTGGGTACAGATGTTGTAATAGTCACAAAAGCTTAATTGTATAAAAAGATATACGTTGCTCTCAGAAGCTTGTAAAAAGGTTGTTTCTTGTTACTATTAGCAGTCATGTTAATCTAACTTGAAAAGTTTTTGTAATTGGCCTGACTGAACATGAAATTTGTCCCGAATTCCTCTTGGTTTTTTGCCTGACTTTTTAAAATCTTGTTGAACACTTTCCTTGGGATTGTGTTCCACTCTTATATTCTTATACAGTGACTATCTTCCCTGTCAAATATGCTTCCAAACTCAGTCAAAAGCAGAAAAGGATATCTTTGATTCTGGTGTCCTGTTTAAATGGATGTTATTATTTTTAAAAAAAATGGTCCTCTGTATTACAATCATATCATGATATCACACACACACCTCTGAACTCACACGGTACCTTCCACTGTATAGTGTTGACAAGATTTGGTCATTTTGATAAATTCTTTTATAAACTTCAAATGCTTGTCCTTTTCTTGAGTGTCTAAATACATTGATTCAAAGACACTGGTGCCACAGTGCCACAAATGTGACATGTCCATGAATTCATGCATACCTATTTCCCATGAAAAGCACTTTGAAGTATTACACTTTTGAGCCCTTTTTTTCATCCGTTCATCATTTGTGTGTCTGTCTCTTAAAGTCTCATCCCTCATTCCCCTCTCATAACCGGCCTTCTTCCTCTACCCTCAAGCACCGCTTCATTAACGTTGCCTCCCCGCGCACACAGGCTCATCCGGAAGAAAGAAGGAAAAGGAGAAAAGGTAAAGAGAGGGAGGGAGGGTAGACAGAGAAAAAAAAATGGTCCAAAAAACTCTCACCTCCCAGAGAAAATTTGCAACAGAAGTGATAAGCAAACATTGACTAGTGCTTCCTGGGACCACTAGCACTCGGTCAAATTGACGCTTGTTGAGGCTGTTGATCGAAGATGAACAACTCCACTGGCTTTGCACTTTCCATTCTGCAGATGATGCTGGGAGCTCAGGCTAGCCTAGCCTAGACAAAAAGCTGAGTCTTGATAACAAGAGATTATTTTACAAGCCAAGCAAGTTTGGAACTTTTGGCTTGGCTGCCGAAGACTGCACTTCATTGGGTCACCGCGTGCAAGCAGAGGGTGCATTTTTGGGGTTGAAGTTGTCACCTGTCAATAGGCATATTGACAAATGTAATTTGAATCTAGAGGGTTGTGTTGATAGTGGTCTGTGCACATTGCTCAAGACGGTTTTTGCTGATACTTGACTTTTAGGGGGCTTTTTGGTTTGTTTTGTTTTTGTCGTCAGCAGCAGTTCATGATTTTTGATTCATTTCCTTGTTCTGCTTCAGAAGCCTTATGGATGGTGAGTCCGTTGATAATCAGCAGAGAAAAGTGCACTTTTCCGAAAAACAAACACTCCTAATTGCAGTGCTGTTATACTCTACAGTAAACCCCTACCCCAACATCCCAGTCTGAAAATTTCCACTGTTGTTTTCCCAAATTTGTTCTCCAAATTGGTGTTCATCTGCGGGATTGGTAGCCATGCAGGGGAACTGTCTTGGGGCTCCTTCAAATGCAGACTGCAGGGTTTAACATCCAGGAGTGCTCCCAGGCTCTCTGCAAACATCCAGGTGTGCTTGGCCGGTTCTCTGACCGGCTATTAGCCAATGACTTACAGGTCGTAGCTACGCACAGGATATACCATCATTAAACAGCTGAGCCAGCCCTCCTCTAGTCTTATTAGGAACTCAGTTACATGTACATGTGTGTCTGTGGCCTTAACAAGTGCATGTGGAGGTGACCTGAACTTATTAAGCAGGTGATGAACTTTTCTTACCTTCTTTTTTTTCTGTGCCTGGTCAAAAGCTTTGTCCTGGTATTCAATTAGAAGTGAGGGGATAGTGTAAGATGTGGGTGGGGGCTCTGATTGATTTGGAAAGGAGTTATAAAAATGCTGAGTTGGCCATCAGTGAGGATGCGTCATGACAATTATGTCTGGATTGGCGTCAACAGCATGTAGATCAATATGCTTCAGTTTCATTGAATCCCGACATCGTAATACACAAGAAGAATGTTAGAGTTGGTGTGGTGTTGGAAGTCTTCCGCCTCCCGACCACAAGCCCCTCCTCCAGATAGGATTTGTAAACTACCGAATAACTCATTTTCAGTTCATGAGGGAAAATCACGAATACCTCACCAACCTTGGAAATTTTCTGTACTCTGAATGTTTGATTGAAGAGACACTTCATCTGTTCAAAAAAAGTGCAATTTTAAAATGAATTTGAACAGTGCAAAGAGATTGTTTAGTCAGTGTTAAAAAATACAGAGGATTTTCTGTAAAATTTGTGCATAGTCAGATACTTGTTCCTGTACTTTACATTATGATGGCAAACTTATACGATGAAATTAATGCATAGGACTGTATAGGGGTAACATGTCCATTATTATCCCCTGATTTAATAGAAACCACAGAACACGCTGAAAATGATAAAGTCCTGTTCAGAAGCACTTGTGTGCATGGACTTCACCAGAAATCAAAACATTGCGCGCGAGCATGCAAAACATGTAATAGTTAATGACAAGCAGGCAGCCCTCTTCATCGCCAGTAGATTTCTGTGAGTAACTTGTGTCCAGTGTGATGGTGTGATAATTGCCGCGTTGCTTTTATCCACTTGCCATCTTGCCAGAGAGCGTGGAGTGTCCCCATTAACACTTATTGAACCAGAGTGCCCGTAATATTGCCCCCTCTATCTGTTTAATTTTCTTGCCTTTTTTTCTGTTAAAAGCCCTTCCCCTTGCTCTTTAATACTTCAGCATCAAGTTTTTCCGGGGCCCCTTGGTCATGTTCAGATGAAGACACAAGGAGGAAGAACGAAGAGAACAAGAGAAGAGTGTTTGAGAGAGAGGGGGGGACAAGAGGGGAGATGGAGAAAGGAAGATGACAAGAGAAAAGTGCACGGCCGGGGATCTACCTGTAATTAACGCTTAGATCAGGCGATAGCTTATCAGCGCAGGCATGCGTCAGTTAGGGCTGAATCCGTAATGGCGATAACGTCCCCAGGTGATTTATGACAACCATCCTAGAACGGGTCATATTCTTAATTAATGCAGAGATCTCGTCAGGGGGGATAGTGTAACAGTTGGCGAGATAATGCAGATGCTACTCATGAGGCAGCGCTCAGTGGCCCAAGCCCTCAAAGCTCATCTGCATCTGTCAATGTTAATTCCATTTGAGCCCAAAATCTGACATGACCTTTTGAGCAAAAGTACAAGGCACAAAGACAGCTGACTCTTAATCAAATTATTGCTTAACATTCTAAAGACTTCACCTTCCCCCTGCCTCCTCCTCCCCACCGCTGAATTGGGTATCATGCATCATGCCGGCTGGCGTCAGAAGTACAGGCAGAAAGACCTATTATTGGCATAATCTACTCGGGCCGCTACCTGTGCGGTGGCTATTGTGATTGATAACATCTTGTACATACACACTTGTCATATCAGAAGAGTTACTTGTAGTCTACAGGTGCGTGATACAGCCCAGTACTGCTGGGAAATGAACCTCTCACAGTAATGCAATTTGTTGAACACACGGCAACTTGTAAATAGGGAATAATTCCTTTGTAGTAACCGTAAATGGAATTCTGAGTACTCGCAAGCATCGTTTTTCGTGACATCTTGACAATAAACATTGTCACTTCTACTTTGCTCGTTCATCTAACAGAATCTTTCAAATCTCTGAAGTATTCATAAGCTTCGGATGTGAATTAGGAATCTCTACCGACCATTTATTCATATCTAGTGAGGAGCATGCCCGTGAAGTGAAGAGATAGCCCTGTGCTGAATCACTGTGTGGGTTTCGGGGGGAGGGGAGACGTGACAAAATAAGACTTGAAACTATCCACCCTGAGCTGTATTCAGCGTGCACGCGAAGACTGTACAATCCAGACTAAATTTGTTGCGCGTACTTGGCATGCTCTGCATCAAACGCCCATAAACCTGCACGCCTGTGCAGTTGATGCGTACCAAAGAATTGTCAATTTGATTTCAAAACACGCCCTCTTTTGTTCCTGCTTGGAGGGGATAAAGGATAAAAGCTTGATACCTATGATACCTGTGGAATAAAGGAAAACACTCTTTATAAAAAAACCAAGTGCGGATGTTAAGGTTGTCATTGCTGAGAAAGAATAAACAAATTGCCCAACAAATACACCAACACAGAAACAAACAAAAGAACTTGTAGTAGGGTAGTGCTGATTTCAAGAGAAACATGGAGTTGTCCATAGAGTAGTGGTGTAGCTAGTATTTTACTCGTGGGGGCATAAAGGAGCACCAGCATCTTATGGGGGGCACCAGCTTTCAGTGGTGTGGTTTTTTGGGACAAGTTTTTGTTAGTCTTGTTCAATATCCATTCATCCATTTTTTCCAAGGGGGTGGGCACCGGGAATTTGTGGGGGAGAGGGGGGCACGTGTCCCCCAGGCCCCCTCCCCGCTCCACCACTGGCACAGAGAGACCAAACACTCTCTTCTCTGAACAGAGACTTCTTACATTGCATTTGAGCTCGTGAAGTTTGTGAAGTGACTGTTAGCACAGTTCTTAAAACAGCTGGCTGCATTTCCATGACTAGACAGTTATAAGTGGGCTGAAGCTACAAGCCTGCAATTGTGGAGAAGTTAGTGGCAGAAACATATCAAGGGGCCACACAATAGTGTAAATGAAAGCAATAAATGTACAGTTCAATGGGGGGTAAGCAAATGCCCTGTTTTGCTTTGATTGACAGCTGGAGGCATTGATCCGTTCACATGAAGAAAAGAACGCTCAACTGACCGACCAGCTAGATCAACTGAAGAAGCATGACCTCAAAGTGGATGTGAGTATCATTCATTTTGGCAAAATACAGGAATTTGATTTTTCTAAGCAGATTCGTTTTCACATCCTGAATCCTATCAGATGAAATGAGGCTGTGGAATTATGCATATCTGCATAATGGACTCCTACAATGAGACACGTCAGTAACATGTCCCACCGATGAAAGATAATGACCTGGAAAGTATGGCGGCAATGCATTCCTCTGCTTTGGAATCAGACGCAAGAGCCAAAGTGAATTACCATCCATGCTATCAGGTCGGGTACATTGTACCATGCTCTCCCTTGAGACCAGAAAAGAAAAAGAGCGCCACCAAAAGTCCAAGACTGGAGATGGCAAGCAAGCAATCTAGCACTTCTTTCTGCAACCGTTCAAATTCTGCATTTTGGGGGGGTGCTAAGAATTTTCAGGTGGCGTACATCCATAGGAATCAACCACCCATGATATCATTTCTTTGACAAGAAAATCACACCTTACTGCTCATGGCTGCCTGCTGTGCAGTGCAGTGCTGTGCTGTGCTGATGAGATTCGGAGAAAATATTTTGAGATTATGCAGTTCAAACAGTGTCTTCATGTTTTAGTTTCATGTAGACCCACTTACATGGTACATTTCTACTTTTAGTAATCTGGAAAGTGTGTTCCAAAACATTCACATTTGGAAGTACATGTATTTCATATTCAAGTCTGTCATTCACACAGAAAATGTTGTGTTTTAAAGGACAGTTCTTAACAAGGTTTCTGGAATTCCCGGTCCATTAAAGCCTGTTTTTGTGTGTGTGATAAGTAATCTAATAATTATAATGTGCATGTTTGCTGTTAGCCAAATCACAACTGTCAACACCATTGGAACTGTCTAGCTGTAAAGGATGACATTTGCACAAGTAATTGTTCACTTGGAGCTCATCCTAAGTGTGAACTGCATTGGACTGAACTGATATTCCCTCATGAATGAGCAGTTCTTGTTAATTGTTTAATTGCAAGATTGAGCCCGTTCAAAATCTCCTACCAACCTAGGGACTGGGATTAGTGTTGCTAGTGGTGGGAAGATTGATATTTCTTCCTCCCCCCCCTTTTTTTTTTATTCATACTGTCTCCACGAGTCAGTTGACTTGTGGTAACAGACCGTGAAGGGGTGAATGTATGGAACGTCGGCTGAGCGTGTTTAAGCGAGTAACTGCCATCGTCACCAGGCCGTTGCAACTGGCCGGTCAGGCATGACTGACAGTGATTGTCACCGACACGGTTCCATACATTATTTTCCCCAGACTGTGTAGTCGGACTCCAGAATTTCTTGTTTAGCACTGGGGATCTGATGTGTCTGGTGAGATCCGGAGCAATCGCCTTGGGAAACAGATGATTTGAATATGCATGGGGTTTGGTGGCTAAATTGTGATACAAAATGGAAATAACAAACTATTTGTTGTAACCTTTTGGGGGATCAGTGCACAAAAACCTGATGACTCATTCTTACCATGGTGGTGTTAAGGTTATAATTTAAACGTGACACGAGCATTTAGGTGATATGGTATAAAATATACTACTCAGAGTCCTGGCTACCTGCTCTCACCTGTTCACAAAGAACTTACAGGTATTTAGCATCTGACTAAAGTGACAAAAGTGGTCATCTTTGTTGTCCGTGTTCAAAGAGTTCAAAGTTAACCTGTATTCCAAGATAGCCAATTGAAACTTGTATGCCTCAACAGTCATCTGGATTACTGAATATTTAAATCTGGGCAGCCCTGCCTGTGCATTTGATAACCTATGACGTACTCATCAACGGGGGATGTTGATGTAAACTGTGAAAGCCGTTTTTGGAATGTAATTACTGCGTTAAAGATATGTGTGACCAGCTCTAGAAAAACGGGTAATACGTCGCCAGATGCAGGTTATGAGTTTTTGATATGGCTGGTTTCTGTACATTAAAAGCTACAATTTGATATATGAATGACCCCTTTAGTGCACGGCGTTCGGGAGATGCAGTATATAGACATTTGTATATCCACATTTTCAGATTCAATAAAAGCACTTTTCGAGAAAAAGCTCAGAAAGTGTAGCACTTGGAAACACAATGCAATATAGAATTTCCTACTGAATGATCAATTTTTTATCTTTATTCGTCAGTATCCATGTTTGCAGTCACAAATTCTGAAAATATAAATATTCTAGAAAGTATTAAAGGAAAAAAACACAAAATCATGTTTTGGAATGAATCTTGCCTTCTCCAAATAGAACAGGCCATTACGTATTTTGGCATTGCACAACTTATTTGTGTTACCCTTTTGTGCAGAGCGGGTCACATATCTTAGGTTATCCCAGAAAGGCTTACTTACTACATATCAAAGATATAATGGTAAGTTATTCCCAAAAATGGTTTATTTATGTAAGCTTTTCCCAGAATGGGAAAATATATCAAAGATATAATGGTAAGTTATTCCCAAAAATGGTTTATTTATGTAAGCTTTTCCCAGAATGGCTTAGAACGAGTAGCAGGTTTTCACTGTTACGACTTGTATCTCTTGAAAGTTTCTCCCTCGGCTCTTTTTTTTTTTTAAGGTTTTGAACCAGCAGCTTGACAAAACCATTGCCCAGGTTTTGGAACTAAAGACAGCAAATGAGCGCCTGACCACAGAGAACACCCGCCTGGCCAGCGAGAACATTGGCCTGAAGGTTGATGCCAACAAGCTCCAGGACTGCCAGGCCCGTCAGGAGCAGTTGACTCTTGAGCTGGGTGAGGCCCAGCAGAAGATCAAGGAGTTCACATTTAAGATAACCCAGCTTGAGACAGAGCTGGCTTCCGCGAAGGAGTCTGAGGCAGCAAGGAGCTCGGGGGAGGAAAAGCTGTGGAAGCAGATCCACAAGTTGAACAAGGAGGTGACCGGGTATCAGAAGCTGATCTCTGAGCAGCATCAGATGGAGAGAGGTCTACGGGAGGAGCTGGACGAGATGATGATGCAGCTGGAAGGGGAGCTCTCTGAGAGGGACAGGATGCTGGCCTTGATTGAGAGGCTCCAGGAGGAGCTGCGGAAGAGAGACGACAACATCAGGGGTGAAGCGGCCCGGAAGCCGGGGGAGAAAACAGAGGGGATGAAATTCAGGGAGTTTGTGCACCTCAAGCGGGAGGTGAACCAGCTGCGGGAGGAGAATGACGAACTGCGATCAGCTGACAAGTCCAAGCCCCTGGCCCTGCCGAGCCTGAAGGTGGCATCCCCTGGAGGAGACAGCAACATGGAGAGGAGGAGTAGAGGAAACAGGCACAGTGCAACATCTTCCAAGTCCACCATCCTCAGCATAGCAAACATCAGGTAGCAGAGTCTGTGTTCGCTGCATTATTGCTGAAGCAAGATCCTATACATTTACCAAGTTGGGGAACGTGATGTGACAACTATGACTACAGTGCGTAAAAATGGTGGTTGCATGGTACCTGAACTGGCCACACATTAATACAGTGTACTTTTTCACTGGGCAGCGGACATTGTAGGCTGTAGAAGTAGCTCAAACTTTGGCTTCTTTACTTTTTGCTTTGCTGCAAAAGATGGAGAAAGTTTCAGCAACTTGTTCCATCATTTTGAATCCGTGTGCTTTTGTGCATGGTTTTGTGTTTCTCATCAGAATCACCATCTATATTTCTTTACCTGTTTACATGTACTTGCAATGCACATGACCGCACCATTGACTTGAAATATGCATATTTTCCAATTCCTTAACACTGATAACAATGTGGAATTTTTAGAGGTCCCAAAATAAATTGACCCTGCTTTGTTTTTTTTATGAAACAAACCTGATAATTGGGATCTTCTTGTTTTATAGGCAAACGCTATTAAGGTCGTAAACACAGTACCCATATGGAAGAGATTAGCACAGCCTGTGCCTCTTGCAATTTGCAGATGTGATGCCGTAGCACATGTGCTGCATGGAGAAAGCTAATTTGGGGATCTCGGCATAATTGTACGTAATATCCTAATCAATCTAACGCATACTAGGTCAGGCAATCTACAGACAGACAGGTCCCAGATCACACCGTTGACTGGAATAATCCGCCCGTTAGAGCAAGACAAAGACCCCAGGATGATTTTCAATTAGCACGGGTTCCATTAACCTTTCGGCTACCGCACCCGAGACGGCCTTCTCCTCACTCTTCTCGTTCCCTCTCAACTACCAACTCTCCCCCTTTCCCCCTTCCTTCCCTTCCTCGCTGTATCTTAATGTTGTCATTTGTCGCATGAACACGGTCATGCTCGGGCATCAAATCACACTCTGTGCAAATAACACTACATATAATATGTGCATCACATATCGCTAGTAATTGTCTAAATGGCTCTGTCCTAATTCCGGAATGTAGGTTATTTTATGCGGACGCAGGAATCGCCTGATGTATTAATGCAATTAAGGGGTTCGATGGTACCGTCATACGGCACCGTGTAAACTTTGCAGGAGAGAGAGAGACCAGGAGAACGAGCAGGGAAAAAAAAAAGAAAAGAAAAGAAGGAAAAATATGACCGATGTAAGAGATGAACCGCATCTCATCGCATGCTGATGAAGCCAGGACTCCCCGTGTTTGTGTATGGAAAAAACCTGAGAGGTTGGAATGAGAAATGGAGAGGCAGGAGAGGGCAGAAGAGGGCGAGGGATAGAGTTTCATAAGGAAGTCAAGATATTTCCTGCCGAATATTACATCTGCGAGTGTGTCTTGGTATCTGCGTCCACGCGTACATGTGTGTGTATGGATGTGTGAGCTGGCACGTCTTAATTTATGACATATTGAAAGATCATGGGCCTCCTGAATAACCCGAATATTATATTGATTGATGTGACATGTATGCTGATGTCTTTTCGGTTTTTCGTCCTCTCCGGGCCGGCACACCGTGCATGCCAACGGTTTGAACTAACACGGCCAAGTCACACTTTTTTTGTCCGAGTTTATCCAATTTCCTTCTCAATCTTGGAAGTAGGTTAAGTATCAATAACAGATACTTGGAAGTATGAGCACGCATGACCCCGACAGGCTGTGACGGATCTTACCTTGCAATACTAATAAACCTGGGTAAATGTTGGCTTACCTGACAGGAGGAATCTTTGAATGATTTCACAAAAAGAAAGAGTCAGACGGAAGGAAAAAAAAAAAAAGAAACCAAAGGGTCTGCCTGAACTCCAAGACAGCTCTGAAATTTCAAAAGGACCTGTACAACATGCCTCCTTTAATTAAATTACCCTGCAAAACTTCCCAGAACAAGGTGAGGTAAGAAATAAACACAGTTGAGAAGCAATCGAGGAAAGGAGAGTGAGAATTTCTGGATGGGGCAAAGCGACCAGTAAGCTTTTTAAGAACGTCAGACAAGTAAGCAAGTTTAAACCTTGACCGCAGTGTTTTGTTTCGACTGAAACAGGAATTTGTTCTCCAAAATTTAAACGAGAAGATTAATTGCCTTTTAAGTTTTTAAACTGAAAAATTGTGTTTGAATTATATTCATGAACCTGTAAATGTCACATTGAAAGACTACTGGATTCATTTCCTAGTGTAAAGAAGCTAGCATATCGGCAAGTTGTGTCAATGACTTGAGAGGTAAACTTGTAAATGTTTTAGCACCATCTGCAAATGACACGCATGCATAATATCAAGCTGTTTCACTGCATTTCCAAACATGCCAGCTAGACGTGAGGCTGTGAAAAGGTTATCTACGTCAGGCCTCTTGAGGCTCGGAAGAGATGTTGTTGAATTTATAAGTAGTATTAAAAAAAAAAATATTGGCAAAAATAACATAAAATCTAAGGGGCGGATTGGATTAGAATTTCACAGTTCAGTTAATGACGGGAAGGCTGAGACCTGTGTGGTGTCACACCTCTCAGCAAAGACCAATAAACGGTGACAGGTCCTGGCAAATTGGATTACGCGGCAAAACAGGATGGAGTAGGCTAAGTAAGTCTTGTTTAGCCAATTAGACTTGGTGGGGCATTTAACTGTGCCCCCCCCCCCAATTTAGAGATCTGGTTTATATGTCACATTAGCTCTTATCCATTGTTTGGTGTTTGACAAAAGTCCACACAAAGACTCAGAATATTGATAAACTGGTATTGACTTCCTGAGGTTTTGCATGGATATTTTGTTCTATTTTGTGAGTGTGTTTTTTGTTTTGGTCTCGTTTTGGGGGAGAGGTTGTTTTGATTAGTTTTTGGTTTTGTTTTTGGATCATGTGATGCAAACTTTGTACTTTAGATCTTCACAAATCAACAAAATGGAAGTTGTTTAAATGTTAGATTTTTCACATTTTAAAGATGCTGTTGAACATATTAAGGTTTGGCAGCTGAAAGTTGTGCTGAGATATGAAGAAGATAAGGTCAGTTTAACTGTAGATGATATGAAAACCTAGATTCAGTCAAACAGCCAGAATGCCCTTTGAAAGATGTTTCAAAATTGAAAAGGAGGGTAAAGTTTGAGAGGTTAATAACAATAGGGGAAGAGAAAATTAGGGATTTCCCCAGTCGACATCCCCCCCCCCGCTACACTTGGATTTCATCGATCACCAACAAGAAAAACCTTTTTTGAGTTTTGCATTGGATTCCTCCAAAGCTATGGATGCCCTCAACATGCAGGCAGTGAGTTAGGGACAAATGTCGGTTGGATCTACCCATGCATTGATCCGAGAGGCCAGAAACCAGATCAAGTTCATGACCTACACGGGCTGTGGAGGAGCCAGGAACTGTCCGCGTCAACGACCCACCTGGGCCGGGGAAAAGAGACAAGGACCTCTTGCAGTGACAGGTGGATGGGCCAAGGTGCCATTCGAGATGCTTTGCCGCGGCACCTTCACCAGTGCCATTTCTCTAACGGTACTCCTCAGTACACTCTTGCCGAGGAGCTGTTATCACTGGATGAGGTCGATTTTTGATTTGCCTAATAGAGGTTAAGCCCATTTACCATGGTTATACAAATTGTAGTCCATGAATTTCAATAATGGTGAATTTTAAAAACTCAATTTCGATTTAAAGAGTAACAAAGTTCAGCAAAGGAAGACTATTTTACACAGGGATTTGAAACCAGAGTCGTCAACTTTCTGATGATCAAATGTAGTTTTTCTTTTTTTGGGGGGGTATCATTTTTAACTAACTTGTCTTTTTTTTTCAACAAATTTATCACAATGGATGATATTTTTGAAAGTCCAAGGCAGTTTGTTGTGGTCTTAAGGTAGGAAAATGCAGAAATTCCAAGTTCACGCTTGAAGTTAATGTGAACTGTTGCAGATTGAATTTTCCAGCAAATCTTGCTAGTCACTAGGAAATGGTTTTGTTTGTGATTTTCTTTCACCTGGTTGAATAGCTCCTCTTGGCTTGGCAGCCCCGCCTGAGCACTTGAAACATTTTGTATCTCCCAATGACCCATTGCTGTGCCTGCAGTGCAGTCACCACACAAGCTGGCAAATTAACGGTAGCCCACTGCCCACGATTAACAGCACTCTGATCAGCCTGTTGTCTCCGTCATTTTTTCCTTATCGCTAAGTACCATCACAGGGGGATGAGTTTAGATACCTCGCCTCTCACAATCAGACACTTAGGCAAAGGTCACCGTCACTATTGCAATGAACTTAAAGAACAACCGAACCCTATCCCGAACCAACCATCTTACCTTCGCATCAATCTAACGCCTAATCCCCTGCCAAGGGTTTCTCGCAGTAAGCGTTTCTCTTCCTCTCTTTTTCCCCCTCCTCATTTAATGAACATCTTGGAGATCTTAACACATCTCCCCACACAATCTCCTTTCCCCCCCTCCCGTCTCCCTCTCTCTCTCTCCCCCTCTTTCTGTCTTTAGCCCTCTACCTGTCCATTAATGTGGCAAGCTCTTTAAGCTGTATGCAAATAAGCGGGGCCCAGGCAGGTGATAGCAATCGCTGAGAGTTGAGCCCCTAAAGTACAGTGCGTCATTGCAGATGGAAGAGAGGAGATGGAAGGAACAAATAGAAGAAATAAAAAAATCTAGCCCCCCCTTCCTTTTTTTTGATACAGGATTCCTGCAAGCTTACAACTAAATATCGATGAAATCGAAGACGATCTCGTTAGCTGTGCCCCAAATCAGCTGCCTGTAGATTACCTAGTCTGTACACTTATATTGTATACTCCTCTTTGCTTTACTGGGAAATTGATTTGCAAAAAAATAAAAAAAATAATTGATTAAAAACATTTCAAAAAGAGGAGTTAAAATTCAGCTTTTGAAGCTGCAGAAATTTTCTAATAAGGGTTTGGATGTGAAAATCCCTTCATAAAATATTTTGTCCATCATGTTAAGTACATCACTTCAAGTTTCCTCGATTCTGCGCCATTCTGTTCTTTCTGTTTGAATATAAATTTAACTGTTTCTGAGATACTTTATCACAAAAATCAAATTATTTTAGTGAACTGCTGTCCAAATAATTGGTGTGAATTTTTATAATGCAATAAATTCAGTTGCTTTTTGTAATACATGTAGGTTAGTTGTACCCAGCATGACTACAGCTTCACAGAAGTGCAACGGTGATGAGTAATGATTGGTTCTTGAGAGTTTCTTGAACCATCGAACAGGGTGGGGAGGGGATGTACTTCAAAGATTGAACACAGCTGAAACTTGCCCAAAAGCTAACTGTGACCTGCTAAACAGAAGGATCAGGGGGATGCGAATGTAGCAGAAAATGTACCCTGGTGCCCGGGAACGTCAAAGAAAAATAAAAATAGTCAGCTCCGAGCAGACCTCGGCATTTAACTTCAGCGGGTTCACAAGAGCATGAAATGCGGGTACCGTATACATGATGAACCATCCACTTGGCAGCAGGGTCTTGCATTGAAGCATTAATGCAGGATTGTCTCATTGGAGATGTGCTGTATTTGATTGGGGTTCAAACCATTCAACCCGCTGAAAATCCATGGAATTTAAATAATTTTCCCCCATCCCACATGCATCCAGGGTGGGGACTTTTGTGTCTATTATTCATAATTCAAGTACAACTTCATAAAAGAGGGCTGCAGATGCCCCAGAAGGGGTGCTAATCACGCCAATCAGGTTTGGGTCACCTGTGTGGAAGGGAATGGCATCGAGTCAAGTATTGACTTAAAGGCTCCAATCATACAAAAAGTAACCTGTTGGAGCAATTAGCAGTGTTGTTAATGGTACACAGGCTTTCTTTGCTATTTTGATAACTCATTGAAAAGACAATGAAATAAACTACATTTGGCATGTAGTTGGTTCACCAGAAGCGATTGAGCTTTGACTGAAACAGGGAGGGAGGGGAATGTGGAATGGCTGTCAAATAATTTCTAGCTACCGCGTGCACTCACAGTTGATGTATAAAGAAGAAATATATACAATTGAACTGACAAGAAAACGGGGGGGGGTTGCCTGTTCATCTGATTTTGATTTATCGTTGGAGGTTTGAAAAGCAAATGCTGAAGTCAGTTTTTCTCTGTATGGACAGATCAAACGTGTCGTAAAATGTTGAAACTGCAACGGTGGTGTTGATGTTGCCTTCAGTGGCAAGGTTCAAATGAAGTATCAGACTTCCCATCACAAAAGTGCCAAATGAAGAGATTTTCAACCTCAGCGAGGCAACCTCAGCGAGGATACAGATTTCCTTTCCATCTGTCTAACCAGTTATTGCTGTTATAGATATTGTTGTTATTGTTAGTTGTTTATAGATTTCCGGGGTAGAAATTTAAAACCATTTCCTCCCCTAAAATGGCATATGTAACAAAACATTCTCTCATTACTCTCTGGTCTCTGCATGTGCTAACAAATACAGCTACGTGCCCCTTTCCACCCAAAAAATCTTGGATGTCATTATCTCAGTTCTACCCCTCCCAATCTGCTCTTCTAGAAAACTGAAATGCTGCCCTCTTGGGAGTTATGTGTCCCCTTTGTACCTGTCTCTGTTGGTATATTGTGCTGTTTCACATCATGTTGGGCAGGAATAGGATTTGAGTGAAGCTGCATAAATCTTGGATTTATTTTGTGCGATTCTGATTTTTACAACCCAGAAGTAAGACTTTGAGTGATTTTATAATAACCAAATTTCCATTACTTTGTTCCTTCTCATCAGGCAGCTGCTAGGTGGTTTGAGATATCTATGTCGTTTTGAGCAGGAATGTCTTTTTATTCTGTGTCCTAGTACAGTCAAATTTTTAAATTACCTTGATTGTCCAAACAGCCCAAGGACAACTTGTAGTTTTGTTCATCCCGGGTCATTTCAAAGTAAATCCAATGTCGAAATCGAATGGAAACAGCCTAATCTAACAAATTAAAAAGCCAAACCCAAGAAAACAACTACTGTCCACACCCAGTGAGCTTGAGCAGCTCACAATGATACCATCACAGCCTAAACTCTAGATACAAACAAAGGCAATCTAGTGATAACAAATTCAATTAAGAATCACTGATTAAAATGGAAGAAGGTAGAAATAAGAAAACCCAATGTAAAGCACTCCCAAGCAGCCCAGTTCAGCCCAGTCTTTGCCACTCTAGCATTTCCCAACCCAACCAAGCCCAACCCAACCTAATGCTACCCAACCCAGGTTCTTTTCTTGTAGCTGATCAGTTCAGCTTAGCTAAGTACAGCCCTTGCCAATCCTCCCCCGTCCTCCCCAACCCAGCCGAACCCGCTTTGTCCTGTCCTATCAAGCCTCATCCATTCCCAGCCCTGCCTTCTGGCACCCTGCCTTACCTAGTATGCTTTGCCCAGCCCTACGTAGCTGAACCAAACCCAGCCCTACCTCCAACATGCTCTACCCTGCCATAATCTTCCTTGCCCCACCTTGCCCTGTCCCACTCCACCTAGCCCTGTGTGCTCTGACCTGCCCTACCCAACCTTCACAGCCCTTCCAAGCCCCACTCCCTTCACAGACTCTTCACAGATCCCTGGTTAAGCCAGGACTGATGAATCAGCGGCCTTGTTATCCCCAGCCATCCATTTGCATATGTTATACACACTCATCATTCCTCCCCCATCCTACAGTGATACCTCCTATCCTGTATACCCTCCGGCTCAACCCTATTATTTCACCTGTTCCAGCGAGAAGGATTTCCAAGCCATTCTATTGTTGAATGGCCAAACAGCTCCACTGCACGA